AAACCAACGTCCTCTTGCGCTGGTTCATCAGCCATCTCTACCTTATCAGGAATGAAAAATCTCCCATTCTCATGTATGACGTATCCTCATGCATGTATTCGCCTTTCGATCTTTGATAGGCCACAGTCATCGAAGCCTTGGATGCTCCCTTGTTCTCGGGCACTGCGACATATTCGCGTGCAGACGGCACCTCACCAACTTGCGTTGCTCGCCTGGGCCCTCGCTTCCAGGAGTATCGACGAGCGCCTGTAGACGGATCGGATAGCGATACTGTGAGCGCCTCATCTCGCTCCAGCAATCAGCAAAATCGATTCTGATCTGCACTGCACTCACGCGACGGTATTTGTTTCGTCTCCGATGCTGACTGGGAAGAATGCATCGAGAGCCACATCATTCCGGCGTCAAGGTCCGAAGTAAGAAAAGCTCAAAGCTCTCTCGATACGCACAACTGACTGATGCCACTCCAATAAGTACTACACAGAAGCATTGGGCGATTCTCCAGGCGACCTCTTTAATCCGTCGTTTGGACTACTCCTTCGGGCGGATCTGCACAAAACGTTCGACCACGGCTTGTGGGCTCTCTACGAAGACGAAGGCAATTTAGTTGTCCATATTTTTGGCGGCAGACTATCTCAGCGCGAGTTCCATGGCAAAATCATTGTTCCAGCGCAACGATGCCGCGGTGCTGCGCAAGCGCAACCGGACCTCAGACTTCTACGCTTTCACTACCGGCAATGTGCAATGCGGCGCCTTCGTGGATTCTCCGCCAGCTTTTGACGTCCCAGCGACTCAAGACGTTTCAGCAACTCAAGACTGCCGCGCGATTTCATACGCGCCTCTGCAGTCAACCTCGTATGAGTACGCTTTCAGCTCCAGCCAAATACGCCCCCAAAAGAGTCTCATAGCGCGAGCTAGAAACAAACACATGATGCTTATCTGTGTCGTGAGCTCGATCGGTCCACAGCTGACCTGTGATGCATTGGACGTAGGTCGGAAGAGGACGTGTCTGCACCGGCAGTACATGTTCTGCGACTGTGCGGAGCACTCTCCGGTCAGCAGCGAGGCAGTAGAATTGGGACCTGACACACGGGATACAACAGATGACTCGGCAAGAATCTATACCTTGCCTGCCATTCGAGCCGCTTTGAATCTTGAACTTTCTGGCTGGCGCGGGAATCGGCTGCACCTCTTCGGGCGGCGCTTCTTTTTTCGGCGGAATGGCCTTGCGCGACGAAGACGATGGTGCGATTGCCGGCGGCCCTCGCTGGTCCAGTCTGACCTGTGCGATGAAACTGGCCTGGGCATCTTCGTCGGCAGCCGCTTCGAACAGCGGCTGCTTCGCAATCTCAGTGAGCCTCGCGTCCTCCTCGTCGCTTTCATTTTTCAGCTCGACGCCTTCCTTCGACCGCAGCATCACCTTGTCGACCGGCACGCTGCCCGGAGCAAAGCGCACAGGGATAATCTGCAGGATGACCACGACCGGGCAAGGAGCGGTCATTGGCACGCATCTGCGTCGCGTCTGGCAGAGACGCGTTTGGGCTGAGGTAGGGCGCGTCTTGTAAGAGATGGACCAGACCATACCCCGCCTTGTTTGCCGCCGCGTCTCGTCATACGCCTCGCTGTTGTGCTGAGCACGGTTCTGGGCATGGGTGTAGGTCCCGAACGCACGCGCCATCCGATCCTGTTTGAAGTGCAAAGCCTTGGCTCAGTTATCTTGTCCGCTCCACCGCCGGTTTTGCTGACTACGACGCCCTCACCTTCCTCGT